GGGGGTGATGTTGTGGGGTGGGGGTGGGGGTACTCTGGAGTAACTTTAAGAAGGAGTCCGGAAAGTAGGGGAAGGGGCATGGTTGTCGAAGAAATGATGGTTTGGATGACGAAAGGGGTACGATAACGGGAGGGAAAGGGTAGACGCTTGATGACGTTATATATGATATTTTAACACTTTACTGATATTTTGTGGGTGCAAAGGTCAGTTTAACGGTAAGGCTAGTGTGACGGGAGGGGTACATTGGTCATGTAGGAGTAGGGTGACGGCAGGGGTAAGATGACCATGTAGGGGAAGGGTGACGGCAGGGATAAGATGACCATGTAGGGGTAGGGTGACGGCAGGGATAAGTTATGGGTAGGGTGACGGCAGGGGTAAGTTATGGGTAGGGTGACGGTAGGGGTAAGTTTACCATGTAGGGGTAGGGTGACGGCAGGGATAAGTTTACCATGTAGGGGTAGGGCGACGGTAGGGATAAGTTTACCATGTAGGGGTAGGGTGACGGCAGGGATAAGTTGACCATGTAGGGGTAGGGCGACGGTATGGGTAAGTTGGTGAATGGATGAATGGATGAATGGAGTAAGAAACGAACTATTTAGAATGGGAGTAGGGTACATATGGCAATATGGAGATACCTATACATCCGATTATATTGTGAATATTATCAAAAGCAGAATGTGTGATATATTTACGAAAGAATGTAAAGAAAAAATAGATTCATCTTCTAAGTGTTCACTGTACAAGTTTTTTGGCGAAAATTTCTGTTTTACAACCATATTTAACAAAACCCATAGGAAATACAAATCTGAAAGAAATTACAAAAATTAGAATGTCATCTCACAAATTAAATATTGAAATTGGTAGGTATAACAATGTAGATAGGATTGAAAGAACATGTGCATACTGCAACAGTGGGGATATCGAAGATGAATTTCATTTCATATTAAAATGTGAATGTTTTTTAGATTTAAGAAAGCGTTTTATTAAGAAATATTACTATGAAAGACCTAGCATGTATACATTTATCCAACTTATGGTCATGGGTATACGTAGGAAATAGAGATGGGTTACGGTCAGGGTATACATAGGAGATAGGGGGAGGAGTTATGGTCAGGGTATAGTAGGAGATAGGGGAGGGGTTACGGTCAGGGTATACGTAGGAGGTAGGGGAGGGGTTACGGCAAAGGTATACGTAGGAGATAGGGGAGGGGGTACGGTAAGGGTATACAGAGGAGATAGGGGAGGGGTTACGGTAAGGGCATACGCAGGAGATAGGGGAGGGGTTACGGTAAGGGTATACATAGGAGGTAGGGGAGGGGTTACGGTAAGGGTATACATAGGAGATAGGGGAGGGGTTACGGTAAGGGTATACGTAGCAGATAGGGGGAGGAGTTATGGTCAGGGTATACGTAGGAGATAGGGGAGGGGTTACGGTAAGGGTATACGTAGGAGGTAGGGGAGGGGTTGCGGTAAGGGTATACGTAGGAGTTAGGGGAGGGGTTGCGGTAAGGGTATACGTAGGAGGTAGGGGAGGGGTTACGGCAAAGGTATACGTAGGAGATAGGGGAGGGGTTACGACAAAGGTATACGTAGGAGATAGGGGAGGGGTTTCGGTAATGGTATACGTAGGAGATAGGGGAGGGGTTACGGTAAGGGTATACGTAGGAGATAGGGGAGGGGTTACGGTAAGGGTATACGTAGGAGATAGAGAGGGGTTACGGTAATGGTATACGTAGGAGATAGGGGTAGGGTTTCGGTAATGGTATACATAGGAGATAGGGGAGGGGTTACGGCAAAGGTATACGTAGGAGATAGGGGAGGGGTTACGGTAATGGTATACGTAGGAGATAGGGGTAGGGTTTCGGTAATGGTATACATAGGAGATAGGGGAGGGGTTACGGCAAAGGTATACGTAGGAGATAGGGGAGGGGTTACGGTAAGGGTATACGTAGGAGATGGAGGAGGGGTTATGGTAAGGGTATACGTAGGAGATAGGAGGGAGGGGTTACGGTAAGAGTATACGTCGGATTGACGCTATGGATATGGGTTACTAGGATTTACAGTTTGAGATTATACCAAAATGTTTTGTCGCAATTATAACTTTTATAAGCTAACTGTTATTGTTAATAGATAATCTTATCTGTAGTTCAGCATAGCTAGGTGGAGGTGAAACTGACGGAGGCGTGGATTACATTAAGTTGTTTTCAATACAAAGTGTGAGAAACTATAACATTTTTCCAAATAAATGTAGAATTTCAATTCGTATTCTCTCCTCAAATATAGGTTTACTCTGCTCGATGCTTCATTGGCACACCAACATTGATAACAGACTATTTTACACTGTAATAGGCGTTATACTGTATTGAAACATGCACTAAATAAATAAAAACAACTTTTAAACTCTGCGCTAATTATATACAAGTTATCACAGATTATGTAAAGGAACATGTGAAAAATTGTTTTTCTAAACAAATCATCTCCATTAGGGCGCAATATTTACATTTTTTTCTCCCTTACAAGTATTTCAATCTTAACTTTTTTTTAGATTTACTCATGTCTTTTAGATTCTGGGGAAAGGTTCTGGGGAAAGACATTAAAGTTCAGATGCATACGTATATAAATATAAGTCAATTATTTTATAATGCCTGTATTAGCAATAAAGCAACAACCAATAGCTAGAGCAGTCCTGTAGAATTTATCCTCAGTCAGGGAAGATACATCCAACGCCTCCACAACATTACGTAAAATTATGTATTCGGGATTTTTACCCGGACCACGGAATTAGATGCTATCCAAGTCCGCGCCCGAACCATTTGCTTCTGACTCTACATAAATGAAGGCATCCGTATATAGATGTATAACTATTTGTATAATATTCTATTGTATCTGTCTGTATCCCCTATGTACAGTACACATATCTTATCTTATAAACGCATATCTCTGCTTCCTAACAGGTTTCGGTTACATAAAAAAAAATGATTATCAAATTGTGGAGACAAACCCTATTTGCTCTGGCGTGACGTAAGTACTGGTCTTCATTGATATATATTCAGGCAATCTATCGTTCTGATAGGTCTCAATGACATGCATTCCAGGCGGCGGCTTGTTTATTTCGTTACGCTCCGCTAGGCCTAAATCGCTGACCTCACAGGTCAAAGAACAGCGCCGTCTAGCGATCTAAATCCGAAAATACACATTTCGAAAGGAGTGAAATTCTGGAATTGTTCAGTGTTTATGGAGAGTTTACGGATCAGAATGAGAGATAAATTTATTTCTCGTATGCTGTACGATGAACAAAGATGATGTGAAGATTGTAGGATCCAAATTATCCCTGGTATTAGGCGTTAAGGAACACGTAGAATGTCTGTTTGGTGTGCGTGTGGTCGTTCCTCCAAATCACGATGACTTCCTGATCGGTAATGACGGCAATGATGTTTGTGGCGAGTTCGGTAGTGCGACAATTCATCTGTCGTCAGAGACATCATCGGAAAATGTTCAAAAGGCGAAAGTAAGTACAGATACCGCCAGTCGAGTAATAAATGAATATCGCCCAGCGTTTTTGCATACTGTAACCTTGTCGAAGGGACGTAATACACATGAGAAAGGGCGATACTAAAAAAGGAGACTAAATATCCGGATTCAATAAGTTTATTATTTTAATATATTAGGACTTTAAAGTGAAATGACGCTCATATTACATTAAATATCAATATAAAGCTGATATATATTAGTCCTAATTCAATCGATACACATTGTGTGACGTAACTGTTTTGAATGTTCAACCAGGAAGTTGACATTTTTCCAACGACTAACTTACACTGTGTTACTAACGTTAGATTTTGAACTGATAACAACAACCTCACGGCTGAAATTAACAATATCATCAAGTAATGCATACATATTTGTTAAAGTTTAGATATGTTTACCTTTCAATCTGTAGTTAATCGTGCTTGCTGGGCTCTCCGTTTTTAAAAAAAAAAAAAAATCCTATCTGAGCAACTATAAATATATTGTAACATTACACTGAACCAGTAAAACAGGTTAACATGTCTGTAACTTATCATAATGCTTTGGCAAAGGTTATGGAGCAATATTCAAAACTCGGTTATTTTTGTGGACTTTCACGGATCTTATATAAGACACTAAAACCTAGGGTTGATAGGGGACTCGGTCACACGGGTCTGCGTGTTATCTGGGGAACCATAACACTGACTTGAGGTTACCCGGGGGACCGTCACACGGCCCGAGCCTCCGAGGGTTTCCCGGATGACCCTCACACCCCCATGAGCCTTACCTGTTGGACCGTCGCGTAGATCTGGCGGTTTCCTAAAACAGGTGTTTATACGCATATCGTCGTATATTTTACATTTTTATCAAGCAACTGATTAAATGAATTAATAGAAGTTATTGTTTTTAAGAACCATTGTTGATGATACAATAAACAAGAAACTGTGTTAAATTGCTAGCTACAATTGCTGTACACAGGCTGACAGCCATGTCATCACGAACAAAAATACGTTTTGACCTACATGTACACCGTAATGTTGTTGTTTTTAAATTCCGACTTACGTCAGAATAATGAATAAGAAAATGATTGATAACACCATGACTACACTCATAGGCTAAGGACCTGTTATAACTAGATATACGTCTTTCTGATAGAGTTAATCTACTATCTAGTTAGTGTAGGTGTATTGAACCGTATGTTTGTGTGGGTGACGGGTTACGTATCTGCTGATTCATGGTTCAAACTTTATAGATATAATAATCATGTGATTTGTCAATATGAAACGGATAATTACTGCTTTGTAAAGGACAAGTATTTCGTACCCAGTCATAATAATAACCATGTGTACGAGAAACGCGTGGTGAGGGCCAAGCTACTTGACTTCCCCTATTTTAAGTGTTTGTAAAGTTACACTCACTGTGGATCAAACCGGTTCACAGAAGGGACACCCTACATGTACGTCCGTCGCATACTGAAAACGGTCTATAGTTTTAGAAACTTCGAGCTGATAACAGTTTGTTAGATTCCGTATTAATGCTTCGGATACTGGCGGCCTGTGATAGGTGAGTGTACATTTTAGGACATACTATGTGTTGTCTGTTATATCTTATATTACAAGTTAATAGCCATGTCGACAATTTTGCGTTAATTATATGTAGTTCCCCAATGACGGAGAACTCTCTGGTCTGCACTCCATCTGTCCGTGCGTGGTTTTGGCCGGAGCATCGGTCACAATCTTGTCTGTACATGAGTATACCACTTTAAGTGTCGCGTACTTATATGTGGTTGGTTGCCCTATTTGTCCCTTTATTGCACCGTTATGACCCTTTGTTGGTATTTGAGATAGAAGAAGTCCTGGAGGTTGGGGGCTGTAGATTGTATCATTTTGCCGATTGCTTTCTCCTTGTCGCGATTTTAAGACTGTAGGATATACATGAGAGAGTGTGTTAGAGTAGCCCGAGTTTGGTCTGGCCCTGACACCAGACTTTTGTACATTTTGTTAGATAGATGTCTAGTGTGAGAGGTCCTGATTGAAAAAAATATATTATTTTACTTAATCTTGTAATGCTTTCTAAATATATAGGTTTTGACGGTAACATAAAGATAAAAGCAGTGTAATGAGACACTGTTCATGACTTTTTAGACAAAAGTCAAGTATGATAGTCACATTTCCGAAGACGGAATCCCGAACAAAAATCGGTACATAGCAAAGTTAAATTTTGAAGGTTTCTGTATATTTCAAGAAAGATGGTTTACAAACTATTCCAAGTATTAAAATCTCGTTATGTATTTTTATTCAGTAAGAGAGTGACAGCTGTATATATACTGTTGACTATACAGGCAGTGTCTGTTGTGTAGAGTTTTTATCAGTCTCTCTACATTTTATCTGTACCCACCACCTGGTCCTGTCCCATATACTTACATATTTATGATACCAAGCTTTAAGGAATGCCGCAGTTTTTAGGTGCCCTTCCCTGCTATTTATCACGATAAGACCGTAATTGTTGACCGAGCGGGTTCCTCATTGATAAGTACAACTTGTCATTGACACTCATGCGAGATTAGCATGTTTTATAAATTATTTTATTTAATTGAGAAGAGTTGCATTATTTATAATTGAATTGTATTAAAAAGAAATGTGTAATTTGCGTTTCCCGGAAATACATTGCTTGATACGCATATATATGTATAGTGTTAAAATATTTCTAAATAAATATAACAGTTAAATAGATTTACAGTTATTATAATTTACGTGTACATATAAACACACAGTCACTGTTCTGTCCAAGGTTGACCAGTGCATACATCGTTATGACTTCATTGTTTACTAAGGACATCTTTGTAAGTGTAAATGTATGTTTCTACCTCCCCTCAAACCTAGGCTTTGTATGGGGCCCAATTATAGACCACGCTCTGGTCATACCTATATAAGGCCGTTAAAGACTACTAATAACGAGGCGGTATACCGTACGTATCAATCATTACAACGCTGTCATTGAGGCCAGGAGGTACTTGTCGTTTTACGAGTTTATGAGTTATACGTGTACAGGACATATGCGGCACATAGAATCAATGTATTTAGAAATTATTTCCTTTAATAGATTAACAGATTTATTTTTTTCTCTCAAAAAAGTCGCGTTCTTTGTTAGACGAATGTTTTGTTAGTAAGAACTTGGTAGGTAAATATGGCTGTGTTGTGTGTGACCAGGAAAAAATAGCCAGTCGTTTATCAGAATTTATAAACAGCACTTAATCAAATGAGATGGATGAGCCACACACACATGTTGAAGTTGTCACATTTTATATGAAATTCATTTAATCAAACATCATTTTATCAACGGTACTTACATTAATATAAATGATTAAATTATACGTTTACAACTCAGGAGATCACATTTTGGATACTGGAAAGTTCATTATATGCGAGTAATTAGGCGCGCAAACGCCATTTTGTATGCATAGACCTATATGTATGATAACAGTCGTGCTGCTGGAAGTATCGCCCGTTTCTGTGTTGATACCATTTCCATTAATCGTTATGAGTGTAAATCACTGATTTGCAGATAGTGTAATGTATACAAATAAAATCGGCGTGTCTGTTATCATCGGAGCTTTTTTTTTTCTTGACTTTTTTTAAATTTCATATTCGTCTTTTGTTCTTATATTTCAGAATTATATTGCATCTCTGACTGTTGAAGGGAGGGAGAGGGACACGTTTTCCACGAGTTTGACTGAGCCCCAAGTAACAATGTTGATAGAAAATCGGGACTCGATAGAGCAGTGTTCCCAGGCCGTACTGGATCTCGATAGGGACGCCAATATAATCTGTGTCTATGGAAAGGTGGACAGCGTTAGGTCTGCCGAGTTAATGATAAATATGACGTTAAATAAAAGTGCGGTTAATTCTCGCTTGAACATACGACAAAGAGGAGGTGTCGTCGAAAGTGACGATTTTTTAGCAAGTACTAAAGAAAACACGTTAAAGCCGAAACCGGAAATGAGGACTTTGGAAGATTGTACTGACGATGACGATGCAGTGTGTTGTAGTGAAAATGTGCAATCTCTTGCAAGTGAAGACGATTCGAGTTTGCAGATTGACAGTGAACCAGCGTGTCATTCCTTTGTTAATGTGGACTTTTCCGATAACTTCTTAAAACGAGGTTGTGATTTCGTTCCAACACGAGATTTAGACGATGTTAGTGATTTGACCATCGACACAGACATACTTAGAGATGAATTAAGCACACAATCAGACGCACGTCACATCGATAAACAGTTAACGCATCTCAATCTATCTAGTCCTCATGGCGAACTAAAGAGCTCTTCTGACGAAGAGGTTTGGGGACACAGTGGTGGCGAATATAGCGGGAAGGTGGAATTCGCCTTAAAGTTGGGTTATACAGAAAGTCAACTAACAACAGTAATGAATAAACTAGGTCATGAAGCAAGTCAAAACGAAATTTTATCAGAACTCATAAAATTGGGGAAAAGTGTGATTCCCAATGAGGAGGCTGAACTTGATTCATTAGAATGTGACTCTGGATTAAAAATTGCGGAAAGTCACATACGCGCTGCACCACTGTCTCCACATCCTGATCACATGGGACAAGAGTTGGACTTCGTCGACAAATTCAGACCGGTTGTTATTGACGGCAGCAATGTGGCAATGAGGTAGGTACCATTAATATCGATAGATGACAAATAAGTACCATAGAGTTCGACCATTACTACCCCTCGTGGTAGGTAACGTTATATGGGTAGTAATGAGGCAATGATGGACAAGAGGAAATGCTCGCTGGGTTAGGCTAAAATTAGGCTAAAGTTAGGCTAAAATTAGGACAGCTGGTAAGGATGACATGAGGTTGGTAAGAGTGGACATGTGGAAAGGACCGATGGCGAGGAAGGAAATGAGGTAAGGACCGTTGGTAAGGGTTACACAAGATGTAAGGACCGTTGGTAAGGGTGGACATGTGGAAAGGACTGTTGGTAAGGGTGGTCAAGAAGGAAGGATCGTTTGCAAGGATGGACAAGGTGTAAGGATCGTTGGTTAGGGTACACAAGATGTAAGGACCGTTGGTATTAGTGGACATGAGGTAAGGACAGTTGGTAAGGGTGGACATGTCAAAAGGACTGTTGGCAGGGGTGGACAAGGGGTAAGGATCGTTGGTAAATTACAACAATTATATATTTCGATGTATAAGGGTGGACATGTGGAAAGGACTGTTGGCAAGGGTGGACAAGGGGTAAGGATCGTTGGTAAGGGGAGACATGAGGCAAGGATCGTTGGTTAGGGTAAACAAGATGAAATGATTGTTAATAAGGGTAGAGATGAATTTACACCATACACAGACAAAATTAGAAGGTTTTACACATTTTCAAGTAACAATTCGTAACATGTTCAGGACCAAAAGTTGTTTTTAATCTGTCTTCTGTTTGTAACGAACAACCTATTTATAGTACTTGTAAAAACAACGTTTTCTATAAAAAATTTTTTACATCTTGTCGATTACTGTTCCAGAAACCTAATTTCATGAAAACAGTTTGTTATTAATTAATTATTTGAAACTGTAGGTATTAATCTAAACTTTATTTAAAGATAGGGATTAAGCCATGGGCACAGGTGTTGGTCTTAGTGAGGGCTGGACTGCAATAGGGGTACTTAATTTAGTGTAATGAATAGTAATAAAAAGTAATCTTGTCGGTCGTACATAGGTTTGGGGCGCTAGTGATTACTTGTTTGTAATATAGAATTATGTAGTAATGCCAGAATTCATGTTTATCCATGTTTACTCCACGGTAAGACAAATTTAATTTAAAGGCATGAGGAAAATATGATAATTTTTGTGAGTTATACGTGCCCTGTCGACTCCCAGTTGTCAGGTTTCGGTCTGACGGATTTGTCATCGTCAGGAAGAACCTTTCATCATCTACCATAATGGAAGATGTGGTGTTGTTCTGAGCATTGCCAGAACTGTCTACTATCTAATGATACCGGACTAGATACACTTTGTACCAGTACCCTTTCACCACCCAAACACATTAATTCACTTTAGATCTGCCTACTCTACTTACGTAACATATGATGACAGGGCATACGTTGCGATCCTAAAACCAATAGTTACACGTTCTAAAGTTTGTTCGGGTGAACTGGCCATTATCATGTGCGCATAACATGTAGATTAAATAAAAATATATCGGTACAAGTGGATCGATATCGGTAAAACCGGATAAATATTGGTACGAGTGGATAAATATTAGTACGAGTGGATAAATATTGGTACACGTTGATATATATAACGGTATAAGTAGATAAATGTCGGTACAAGTAGATCAATATTGGTTAAAAGTGGATATATATTGGTACGAGTGGAAACAAATCGGTACAAGTGAATAAATATTGGTTCGAGAGAATAAATATTGGTACGAGTGGATAAATATTAGTTTGAGTGGATAAATATTGGTACAAGTGGATAAATATTAGTACGAGTGGATATATATTGGTAGTACGAGTGGAAAGATATCGGTACAAGTGGACAAATATTAGTTTAAGTGGATAACTATCGGTACAAGTGGATATATATTGGTTAGATATCGGTACTAGTGGATATATTTTAGTTTAAGTGGATAAATATTGGTACAAGTGGATAAATATTGAAACGAGTGGATAAATATTGGTTCGAGTGGATATATATTGGTACAAGTGGATATATATTGGTAGTACGAGTGGAAAGATATCGGTACAAGTGAATAAATATTAGTTTAAGTGGATAACTATTGGTACAAGTGGATAAATATTAGTACGAGTGGATAAATATTGGTACAAGTGGATATATATTGGTTAGATATCGGTACTAGTGGATATATATTAGTTTAATAATATTGGTAGGAGTGGATAGATATGGGTTCAAGTGGATAATTATTGGTTTGAGTTGATATATATTGGTTCAATTGGAAAGATATCGGTACAAGTGGATAAATATTGATACGAGTGGATAAATATTGGTTCGAGTGGATAAATATTGGTACGAGTGGATATTTATTGGTACGAGTCGATATGTATATGGGTACAACAAGTATTTAGATAATGGAACGAGTGGGTTTATATTGGTACTAGTAGATAGCTGTTTGCAAATACAACATTCGTAAGCAGATATTGAGGCAGGTATGAATCCTGTTAGCCGGATTCCTCAACGAAATTTCTATAAGTTCTGGTTTGGAAACACCCCTTCAATTTCCCCCTGATAGGTAGATCGCATTTTATGTAGGTTGTATCCGAAACGCTATATACATGTATGTATCAACTTTCGTTATGTTATTTTACAAAACAAACAGTTTTGCCTTACAACCTACTTTTCCCCCTTTTTGTTGAGAGACCAAAGCGGAAACAAATTATTTATGAAATCTACCACATTTGTTTCAATTCAATATGTTAATAAATCAGTAATTTGATAGCAAACAGTTCACATTTTGCAATCTATTTTATGATATAATCCGCGTAGGTAGGACTTAATCATAGCGTTTTTAATACATTATATCCACCGCTAACCAGGTGATTACCAAACCAGATCACACAGTGACATCGAACTATTGTACACCGCCTACTTATTGACGTAATATACCTGTTGGATCAACGCCCACCCCTAAAGGGACTTATTCGATCAATTAAACCATTCTGCACTTTGTATGTAGGTTGTCCTATAATAGTACCACCACATTCGGCATGCCCCCTCGTCATTGGGGCGTTGTACTGAATCACATAACACTTGAGCCAAGTTTGTATATAAATACCATACGCGCAATCTAAAGTAAATATCGACGACATATTTGGGGCATATTGTACACGCCCACAGTGTCTGTTATGTGTATATTGTACTTGTTAAGACATGGGAAGTGGTAGGCGTTGATACCCTCCTCAAAACGTAACGTCAGAATACAGAGGGATAACAGGGTTCTTAAGGTCCTACAAAATTACCTACAAATCGTCAGACACTTGTCCGCCTTTTTGTAACGTTTCTGTTGTTTTGCACTTTGAGCATTTTCCACACATTAGAAATCTTTACATAATTCCAGTCCTTTACGAAAGTGCGTGGTACATGCATGCATAGTATATTCGGATGTTAATAGCAGAATATGACAAACTACATGGTCCTCATTTGACTAACGTGTGATGTTATACCAAATATTTTTTATTTATTCATACAATTATTTATTTATCTGTTAATTGTAGTCATGGAAACAAGGAGGTATTTTCCTGTCGGGGGATTGAGTTGGCGGTGAAGTGGTTCAGACAGAGGGGCCACACCGAGATCACAGTATTTGTGCCTCAATGGCGCAAGGAAACTTCTCGACCGGACTCCAAAATAAGAGGTTCGTATTGGTTGGCCTATACGGTCAAATTTCAAGGGCAAACAACACACGATAGGTTTTGTAGTGTCCGTACTGATAAGGATACCTACTCGTCCTTGGAATGTGACTCTGCTTCACTTGTTTTGGTTTTAATACAATTTATTTTCTCATGGATTTCTATACTTTTTGCTCAAAAGTACTGTTTGTACACTTATGGGATCCACCGAGATTATACTGTCTTAGTGTCATGTTCATGAACGGTATATGCCCACGACAATCACGATCACTTTGTAATGTCCATAGACAGTTTGTGTTCGTTATGTATATAATGGTATGCTCCACAGCATGTTTACGGGGTATAGGGAGTTTCTATGTTATTATTTCCACAGTAGTTTAGGCTAGTGTCCACCTTTTTGCCCCTATAGCAGCACCGATGAGTCGTAGCAGGACAAACAGCTGTATGTTGAAGCGTTATTCATTTTCGGCATACTGTATCTATTACTAAATGTACAGGTGCATTCACATGTTTGTCCTACGCTTATCTGTCTGTGATGTGTCACAATTTGAGACTATTCAACATTTACAAAACGTCAAAGTTTTTAAATACCACCAACGTTTACACCAACACCTTCATATGGGAACTAGTAATACTGTTCTCATAGAACATGCAACGACACATCTGCCAATAGAAGTTTGAAGACGGGAAAATATTGATAGAAATGAACGGAAATACCCTAATTACGGAAATACCCTAATTACGGAAATACCCTAATTTAAGCGAGTTACAAGAAAGTTGGTTTCAACACAGAAGTCTTGCTTGAGCATAAGAATGGTTTTAGCAACACGAGCGCAATACTTCTAACGATAGAAATAAGCCACATTGACGATACTTTTTGATTGATTGAAAGTTTTGAAATTTTCTTTCATGAGTAAACTCTGCAGATGCATTAAATGTAATTGAAAAAGTGTAGCATATATGATAAACAGCGAATTTCAAGTAGGCTTAGTTAACATTAGTTCGCCTTCCAATTGTGATGTATGTAGTGCTATTTTTCGATACCACTGAGTTGGTTTGTGGGAATAGAATTAATCCTAAACTGCCTGACACGATAATTTACACATGCAGTACTTTTGTCAAACTGGGACTGACACAGTGGTTTCATTAATTAAAAATCACGTGCTAATATCCTAACGTGACTGACACAGTGGCTACAGTGACCATTTGACCTCACCCTGCATATAAACGATTACTGTCTGACGTACAGACCGATGTTTCTGGGCGTCACCCATTTACATGCTACGTGTGCCCAGCGACAATGCTCAATAGTAATCACGCAGCTCTCCATTTCAAACCAAGGCTAGAATACATGATGCCTCCTCAGGGATATGAGTATGTGGTATTATTAGACGTTTTTTTAAGGGGAGGGGGGAAGATCAACCCTCAACCCTACCCCACCCTCGTGATATTTATATATAATTAATTTAATTTTGCCTATCTCCCCCATAATAAGTTTTTTGGTATATATCGTATATACCTAAAAAGAAATACAACTGATGACGGAACTACTTTTTACACTTCAGAATGCAAAATTACAACGCAGCTTTTTTTAGCCCAATTGTTTAGCTTCGCGGATTTATGGAAAGTGCACACATTTTTTTTTCGGTATATACCGTATATAACAAAACAAAATCTTGGTCATTCCTTAAATAATCAACTTTTTGTCCAAGGATTGTATATGCTTCCTTCTAGTGTATATTATCAATTGTTCTTTTCACCGAGTGTTTATACCTATACATCAGGACAGGTCCAAACCCACACACATTGTAATTTATTCTCAAATTCGTGGGTGTTTCCAGACCAACCATCTGCTGATTACATGACTATTAATTTGCGACAATCACCTTGGTAGCAACCGCGCTATTGTGACAGAATAGGTCATTAAGTGTACTACTTCTCTTCTAATAGCACATAAACTAGGGCAAAATCGTCGTATTTTACATGTAAACGAGGAATTAAAACAGCTATTTAGAAAGAAGTACATTTCTGTGCATGTTTTGTATAGTTCGGAATTAACAGAAATTGTCAATGCTGATTGTATGTGGTTTTGAAGTGGTTGGTAAATGAGTGAATGACTTTATACTTGTGTAATGTGTGTATCTCGTTATTGTTCTTATCTTTAAAAGTATACTGTTAATACATTTACGTGAATGTGGTAAGACCAATTTGACAGTTGCCGAGTACAAATCAATATACTGTTTATTTACACTACAATTGTATGTATGCTGAAAGTTACGAAATGTCATTGATTTGGATGAGTATATGACGGATTCGATATTATAACTAAATGAAGCAACATTCTGTGAATAAAAGACAAAAATCCTTTCAATGAAATTTCATTTTCTACAGAACAAGATATCCTCATGCATCTGGAGAAAGAAAAGGTGTTAGTGTTTACGCCGGCCAGACGAATTGGCGGGAAACGCGTCGTCTGCTATGATGACCGTTATGTTCTCAAACTGGCTGCAGAAACAGGAGGCATCGTGGTTTCAAATGACAACTACAGGGATCTTCTCAACGAGAATCCAGAGTACAAAAAGGTCGTAGAGGAGCGACTTCTCATGTACTCGTTCGTAAATGACAGGTACTGAATTCACACACGAATCGAAATTATTGGTGACTGAAACTTGGCGATTTTTTCTGTGCCCATCTGCTAAGGTGTATTATCAATCAGTGTTTGAAGTTAAATGAAGTTTATAACGTTTACAATTATGAACTTGAACAGCAATACAGTATTATCATTTTACCATAATGCTTGTGCAGGTACATGTAATTCAATAGCGATTGTTGGAAAACTCTTCAATTTTGTTGTTTTCTCAAACCAGAAATAAAAATAGAAAATGTATTGCAAGGGTTCAGCAAATGCGGCAGATATATTCGTGAGAATTTGATAAGCTAATGTCTCACGGACTGTGATTGTCTCTAAATAATTATGTGTCCCTATATTTTATGGTGAGTTCGTGTACAATAAAAGTTATGGACCCTGCTATCGTTGACAACGGAACAAACTCATCTGGTTTTGTAACCACATTCGGTTACCCTTTGTTTTTCAACGTCCTTTGAGAATATGTTCAATGACGAATGTGTCGTATTTTCAAACAATTATAGCGCAAACTACTGGTGTTTTATCTCATCAGAACATAGTATTAAAGTGTAGTAATATCCAAATTTTTGAACAAAATCATGGCGTTTTATCTCGTCAGAACCTATAACCAAAATGTAGTAATATAAAATGCAAAGATTAACCTCCATTATCGTAACCAAATGAGCATTGAATTAACAATTTATTTCGTAACAGTGCAACACTTGATCAAAGGTTTTGAAATATGATGAAGCATTCATGTATTCGGTTTTTTACACAAGCTACTTCCAAAGTGTCCTCCCTACCTTTTTACGTTACTTAATAATTAATTGTCCGTTTTAAAAGGACTGCTGTTAGACTGTTATAATCTACATGGTCGTAACACCTTCATTCCATTTTAGATTCATGCCTCCTGATGATCCGCTCGGGAGACACGGGCCTAGTCTCGACAACTTCTTGAGTCGCGAACCAACTGTCCCGGAGTCTTTGCCCCCGGTCTGTCCGTACGGCAGCAAGAAGTGTACCTACGGCAACAAGTGCAAATTTTACCACCCAGAACGAGGAAACCTTCCTCAGAAGTCCGTCACAGAAAGGCTTGCCGAACAGACCAAACAGAAGATACAGGACTTGAAGGAGAGGGGGAGCAAAAACCTGGAAGGTACGAACTTTTCTTCGCCACTATTGGTAATGAATGATCAACAACCAAAAGCTTTGTGATTAGAACGTAAGAGGAAAGTTTATCACAGAAATATACTAGTAATCAATTCCTTGCAGATGAAAACCACTTGTTAAAACAATAGAAAAATATGTGTGACGTTTCAACATTTCAGAATGCTTTATTTAGGAAATGGGTTATTTCTTAATAATCGACTTGTCAATAACGTTCAGTCTTGTATAACTTTTTTCAGGCGATAAGAAGAAAGTGCCTGTCCGAAAGCAGCAATTAAAGCCGAAAAAGTCGCTGCAGCGAACACTCTCTTTAGTTCCTGTGGAACCCGTAACCACTATGCCTCCTCCTGACTTTAGTGACCTAGCTGCAGATAATCCACCAGCACCTAAGTCAGAGGAGACAAGTAACATATCAGAAAAGACTGATAAATGGAAGTCGTACGATGACAAACTCACAGGATACAGGAAGAAAATGGAACAGGCAGAGCAAGAAGAAAGGCAACGCCAGGAGGAAGGCATCCCTTCGGATGTAGAGTCTTCTCTAAAGATGCCACCAACAAGTGAAACATTACATATGCCACTGTCGACAAGCGACCAGATTAGTTCTCGGTCGTCCTCACCCTTACAAAGAAGTAGCCCAACACAACCCATAAAACCACAGGAACAGTTTCTAAGTGGGCATCTTCTATTGGCAAAGAAACTTTCTGATGAGGCCGCCGACAAAAAATTGCGACAGAAGGTTCCGGAGGAGCGCGATCACACGAGGACACCTCCCATGGATCTACAACAGTCGCGTGCGGCTCTTCATAGGTGTAATTCTCCCTTGGCTCAGTACAGTCAGCCACAAATGCAAAACCAAACTTTGTCACACCAGATGGTGTCCCCTGAGCAGCAACAGCAACCACAACCACGTCATCAAAAATTGAGCCGACAGCAGTCTCTCCAGGAACCCAGCTATCCACGAGCGCATCGCCCGCTACACCAACAGTTGTCATACGACCCACGATATTCTAGTCAACAACCGTACCAGAGACGACCACAACCCATTCAGGGGAGACAACAAGGGTTCTACGATTTACGTAGCTCGGACAGTTTTGGTGGTGTCATAGACTCTGGAATGCTGCACCCTATGCAGAATATCCAACAGGACACAAGGGCATGTAATGAGCCTTTCTTTTCTAGTAGTAGTGGGAAACATTTAAATGTTGAGCATGCTACACTTGCTAGGATGCAAAGTGCACCCGAAGTCCCTCAGCTTCGAAGCGCAGCTGTAGCTCCACCGATCGGGAGAATGGTTCGTCAAAACAGTAGTTCGGACACTCAATTACATATCATAGGTGGGGAAATGGAACAGACTGACTATAACTTTTCTGAACTCCAAGGAACAAGATCAGACTATCAGCATGGAGACGGGTTCTCTTCGAGTTACGTGGCGCGTGGTTCTGGATATGAAGTTCATCATCAGCCAGTTGCACATCAATTTAACCGGGGGCTGCCCCAAGGTGCTCCGACGTATCAACATAGTCAAGGATACGTACCGCCAAACAAACATCAAGCTGGGAACACCACGTGGTCTTTCAGCGACCAGGGATTTGCTCCTGGACAAATAAAACAACCTGCACATTTTCCTGGGTTTCTGCGGCACGCACCAGTTCAGCATTCACGTTCGTATCAAACGACGCAGTCTCGGCCTTCCCAAGCGAAGGAGCCGTATGCAGAGCGAGATCCTAATTTCCACACAGGAATCCTTACAAAACGGGAAGATGACATCTGGGGGCCATCTGTCGCTTCCTCCTCTTCGTCGTCTTCAGTGTTCAGTTCTCCAAACTATTCTCAAGGAGACAGCCGATATGGTGACATTCCAAGAAGTCAATCAGGGATGGTTTCTCAAGTTTCTGATCAAAACCGGGGACACATGGGCCAATCGAACTTGTCCTCAAAAAGTCAGACCACTTGCCACAGTCGGTCGGCGGCAGAGACATCTAGCGCGTCCTCGCCTATGTTTTCCGAGGATGCCCCAATACACAGGAACGACTCCCGTCATAGTCTGTATTTCCACCTTTGTGGATTGTTCCCGGAACAGAAAGTCAGGGCTGTCATGAACCAACACCCTGAGTTGACTGATCCCCAAGAACTATGTGCGTATATCATTGGGGCTAAATGAAAGTTGTTACGATGTGTAAACAGTGCTTAAATCAGTGGGACTTTAAGCGAGAGAGAGGCCCAACCCCCTGGAATTTTGCTGTCAGCAATTAAGAGTGTAGCCTGGCCATTCGCTGAAAATGGTAGTCAGATCACAGAACTGTTTTTCTTTCATAACATAATATGCTGGACATCACGGGNGTCAGTTAAGTGAATTTAAAGGTCTCAGTTAAGATTAGTTCATTGGAGATGGAATATCGAAAAAGAAAAAAGATATAATAGCGATATTTTCTAAAAAGTACATGTTTATCATACATATATTTATATATTTCGATGTATTAATATTGGGAATTATCTGTAATCACAACTCATTGTCAGCGTAGCATAATGAATGGTAAACACTTGTTAGCACTATAACAAAAAACCAGACGGAAACAGTGAAAACGTATGACGTTTGAGACCCGTTCATTATAGCCAGAGTTTGTGCAGTGCCCGATAAGAGGGTAATATGGCATTCGATTCGCCTCCTTTTATCGCCAAATTATTTTGTATAATATCTCTAGGACATTTTCAATTTTTATCCTTTATCAACTAGACTTTTGGAAACCCTTAGTGTTAGTATTGTATACATGGTCCTTTGGGTTGACACCTATTGCCACAGTCCAATTGATGTACGTCTGTGTACAGAGTCGGGGGGCGTCTTATGGTAAGAAAACTTGAAAGGATGTACATTGTAATACTTCATTGGGAAGGTTTACAGATATCCTCTCTGATCAGTTGAGTTTAAACGTGGTTTTTTGGGGGGATTGAACAGGGTAACATGAAATAATCTTAGCCTTTTCACATCATTCATTTAAAATCGCATAACGATGAAAACAAGATATCACATATTTAGAGCCACAAATACATTTATTGTTGTATTTGATGATATTGTATATGCATATCTGTTAACTTTGAAGTCCACCGAAAGATGTGTTAAATTTTACTCATTATCGAAGGCAGTAAAAATCTGAAACAGGGTACGCCTTCCTTGGCAAAAAGCTGACAAAGAATTTGATGTCTATAGAATTATTATCAATAGTCTGGCAACAGTATACAATTGTTTCATGGCTATTTGGGGAACAGTCAAAACTATCATCCCGAGGTAAGGGGAAGCCCTAGGGAACTGTTTGCCCGAGGCCGCTAGAACTTCTGTAACGTCAGTGGGTAGAGTTTAGGGTTATCGTCTACAATAAGGCAAAACGCAAAATGTAAGACTCCAATGGGTAGAATTTAGAGACAGACACTAAAGCAAGACTTCAGTGGGTAGTCTTTTGACAAGAGAGAGGCACTAACGTAAGACTTCTATGTTAGAGTTTAGGGACAATTAATCTGTTAACAAGAGAGGCACTAACGTAAGACTTCTATGTTAGAGTTTAGGGACNTTGTTATAGTTTAGGGACATCGTCTACAATTAATCTGTTGACAAGAGAGGCACTAACGTAAGACTTCTATGTTTGAGTTAAGGGACATCGTCTACAATTAATCTGTTAACAAGAGAGGCACTAACGTATTTAGGGAAATCAATGATAAGAGAGACGGGAACTTGTGTAAGACTAGTTGACAGCATTAAAAGGGTCTGTCTAGAATCATTGACGAGACATTTCTCGGGCTCAAAGTTCTGCTTGGAAAACAGTAGACATGGTGGGACATTTGTGTGTATACATTCAGTATCGGAGGTTGTTGCATTTCATTTTTGTTAATTTTGACATAATGACGTATTTTTAAGACCATAATTAAAAACCTATATCAATTTTAGTCCTTTTTTTCGTTTTCTAGTATGGCAAATATTGCATGCATTTCCTTATATATTTGTCCAACATTTCTTATATTAAGAATTCTTTTTTTTTTATTTCTAATGCATTGCTGGCATGAAACTAAGATTTCGTTTTCCATTCAGTAGTGTGAAATGTGTTTTTTAAATCTTATTCAACCCCGACAAACTATTATTTTAAAAATGAATAGGTCTTTGGAACCTAGTGTGATACTGGACTATGTGGACAAATGAAGGATGATATTTGATTAAGCGATAACGAACAGTGTTGTTACGTGAGGTTAAAATAGTAGTGATAATGTGCATTTGAGTTAGTGTTAGGAGATTGGTTATGATGGAAGGTTGTGCCAATAGATGGAGTGAAAGGAATGCGGGAAAATAATATAGATATTAAGATAAACTTGAGGGGAGGAAAAAAACAAAACCTTGTTTGTGTGTTACCTCCAGACCTAATCAAGAGATAAGTAGTGATGTTTTCCATCATGTGGTTGTATAAAATTACTTCAGCAGTAAGTTGGAGTGATGTATTGACTAATGTAGTGCCCCATGGGACGGGCATTCTTCTGACTCTCTTCAACGTTTGAACGCTTTGACGTTTAAATTAAGGCATGTAAAACGCTGAAGGGAATCGGAAGAATTGTAATAAGGTTTTTAATTGAACGTCATCAAAGGGTTTTGATACGTCATCAAATGTTTGATACAAATACAGTGTGTCATGTCAAGTCACCAGTTAGGTGAACAGTAATCGGTACCTCTTTTTGAGGCATATTTTTATGAGTGTCATACAGTTATTGTTTTAGGTGTATCGTAAGAATAACCATTAATTCACATGTTGTAAGTACGCCGTCTGTCACATACTGTTCAAATGGAGTTTTTGTAAAGTGGAAAGTGTTGTCTGATTTCGTACTTAAATATAAATTCGCAAGTAAAACCATCAATCAGTCATTTTTAACAGAAAACATTTCCACTCTATGAATCTATCCGTTAAGACAACAGTATACCCATTTTCCTATAATTTAACGCCCGTGACTGTTGTCTCGTGGACGCAGTTCGGGACGTATCCATAGTATTGTTCTACTGTTGTCTCGTGGACGCAATTCGGGACATATCCATAGTATTGTTCTACTGTTGTACTCCAATATTCTGCTTACAGCGAAATATTAAAGGGTTGACAATTATGCGATTGTGTGGCGTTGTTCTTAATGATACCTTAGCAACGTATTTACTCGAAGACCCAATGATAGATGTGTACGACTCGGTAACATGGAAGTCGGGTGTACAATATCTGAAGTACACATACTACACGGTCAATACAAAATGTCAGAACACGAAATCTTAAGTCAAACGAAAAAGAAAAAAAGATAACATCAGTTTGGAGTAACTAGAAAAAGCCATCATGTAACCATTAGAAAACAAGCAAATTCGTGGACATAATTGTAGGTAAACATTATTGAGGTTAGGTTGAAACATGTGAGTATCGTGCTGTTGAGACATAATGTATAACTTAAAGCTCGAAGAAAAAAAAGCCTTATATAATATTTGCTAGAGTTATCAAGCGGAAATTGCAGGTAATGACTCCGCCAAATCGAGTCCGATTAAAGTGGTTGTCAAACTGGGCCCAGCCCTTAAGGCATTTAATCCTGTTATCAAGTTTGAGGAATTGCACGGAAACGGCAGATAATGACGTCTTTCGTATTCAACGAAGTGTGACAGACAGACGGACAGATGGACAAATCGTAATTGATATCCCTAGTTTCGGTGAAAGCGGGGGATAATAAAAGGTAAAGGTATGTGATTTATCTTTCAAAATAGAGTTCTCGGTCATTCAGGACCTAAAGCACTCACATTTTTAAAACTAAGACATCGTCTATAATAAATACAAAAATGTCGCCAATATGTAGGTTCAAATCGATCTACGACATGTAAAAGGCATCGAAATCAGTTCATGATGACGATTGCAAAATTGCTTCAGCATAGACGAAGCTTCGTGGTTGAAAATTCTGCTAAAACTGGGGCCTGCTCGTTTATGCGGAACAATCGGTTTGACCTTTTATAAATGTAACAATTTCGGGTATAAATCATGGCGGACCCGCAAATGTTTATGCAGGCCTTGCAAGGCTCGCCTTAAAGCAGCATCAGATTACTAGGTCCAACATTATTTAATAAACGAACAACTGTGGTCCGACCGAAACGGCTCAAGTAATTGGTCGATAGAACGCATGATCTACACAGAAAACTCCGATAATTGAGTAGCGAACCGCCTGTAAAATGTAAATTAATTGGAACTGGCTCTGGAGTAGCGAATTGACTGTTTTATGTAAGCTTCAAATAATTGGATCAGGCCCTTTATTAGCGAATTAGCGGTACCAGGTAGAGAAGCAGTACGTAGTGTTTTTGATTCAAGAGAAAAAATGAAATATAACTTTTCTCAAAATTCGTGAGTATTATCTTAACGCGTTTGAACTCCATCGTATATAACGCGGCTTCGATGCAAATGTTTAAGTCCTCTTGTGTAATTTAGGGATTAAATTATCCACTAAATGATTCTACAGCAAATATACATGGTCAATATTTTGCCACTAGATTGTGTTGGAGGAGTCACGTAGGCAGTTTACGTAAAAAGTTTTTCAGATAAATTTTTTTTAGTAAGCTTTGCCAGTCGGTACTACACATTTGTTATGAGTGATGTATAGATATTGTTATCAATGCGGGTCTATTAAACAAATATGATTTTTGATTAGCAAAGTCTTGCTCGATTTGTAAATAGATTTAACCACGCCACGAATAATTCGGAAACGGCAACTTTAACTGCCGCTAGAGGCGCGCAAATCAGTCGACAATACCATTACCGATGCCAGTGTCGTTTTAAGTCGTGTGATGTAGTACAACATATTTCCTTCTGTTGTCGACAGTTGCTGTTGGTAGTGCAGTTTCAAGTCATGAATTGTACTTAACAACAATTATTTCCTGCTATTGAAGACAGTTGCCGTTTTTTTGTAAGTACAGCTTCAAGTCACTGTACTACAACGCAATACAACAGTTATGTCCTTCCGTTGAAAACAGACGATGTTTGACGGTGCTTTGTTCGGATGATAAAACTGAGAGAAATTGTGTAGCTGTGTTTGAAACTCTATCGACATAAATGTAGTCTGTTAAACCTAAATGTATCAATCAAGGTAATATGAAGTACCTGGCGATGTTTCCAGCGTATAAACACGGATGACAAAGCGTAACAACTAGACATACAGCAAGCTTCCTTGTTTTGTACCGGAAGTGCTTTGACAGCTGACAGGACATGCAGCTATACTCCTCCCGATCGCCGAGATGGTATAACAACTGTATAACGAAGTATTGTTGCACTTTCAGACCCGAAATATTTTC